CAGAGTTACTGCTGAGTACAGAGTTACTGCTGAGTACAGGCAGAGTTACTGCTGAGTACAGAGTTACTGCTGAGTACAGAGTGACTGCTGAGTACAGGCAGAGTTACTGCTGAGTACAGGCAGAGTGACTGATGAGTACAGAGTTACTGCTGAGTACAGAGTTACTGCTGAGTACAGAGTTACTGCTGAGTACAGGCAGAGTGACTGCTGAGTACAGAGTTACTGCTGAGTACAGGCAGAGTGACTGATGAGTACAGGCAGAGTTATTGGTGAGTACAGAGTGACTGATGAGTACAGGCAGAGTGACTGGTGAGTACAGAATTCCTGGTGAGTACAGAATTACTGCTGAGTACAGGCAGAGTGACTGCTGAGTACAGAGTTACTGCTGAGTACAGGCAGAGTGACTGATGAGTACAGGCAGAGTTATTGGTGAGTACAGAGTGACTGATGAGTACAGGCAGAGTGACTGGTGAGTACAGAATTCCTGGTGAGTACAGGCAGGAGTGAGGCTGGGCTGCAGGGTCAGGGTCCAGGTCCATTTTGGTTGGAATTTGGAGGGTTCCAGGAGCTCTGAGCTGGTGTGGCAGCGTGCTGAGCGTGGTTGTGATGCTCCAGCTCCGCTCTGAAGCCTCGCAGAGACTCAGGCTCCCAAAATAAACCTCGATTTGCAGGCAGGGAGAGCAGGGCAGAGCTGGCACAGCCACCCCTGCTGGATGGAAAGCAGCTCTGGGGACAGCTTTGTGTGCTTGCAGCATGTTGTACACGGCATGACTAATGAATTGTCCTTCTTCCTCCTTCTCCCTTTTTCCCTTTCTCCTTTTCCTCCGAAACAAGGCTCAGGTTGAAGCTAAGAAGGAACATGAAGGAGCAGTTCAGTTGCTAGAGGTAAGATCCTCTGTGTTCCCTGGGCTTGTTCAGGGATATAAAATCCCCTCTGAGCAGGATCATTTACAGTGTCATCACCTGGGAACATTTCAGGGAGGCAAAGAGGGGCTTTCTTTCTCTTCTGATATAATTGCATCCTTTAAGATTTATGGTGCAGTTAGGAGTGCATTGAGCTGAGCTGTTGGAAGTGATGCATGTTTCTCTTTTGGTACCATTTTTTGTAAAATACTATTAAAGGGAGTGATTAATGATGAGGATTTTAATTTATTAGACTGGAAATACCAATTGCTTACCTAGGGTTCCTAATTAAATACTGTCTAATAATCATAAAGCAACATGTTAAAGAACCAGAAATTGTAAACCTAAGGAAAGAATTGAGAATTTACTTCAAAAAGCCTTCAAAGGGTGTGCTGGAAAGAGGACACTTAATTTTTCTCCCTGAGGAAAAGGCATTAAATGGTTTTAAGTGTTAATGTACGTATCTTAAAGAACGTGTAAAAATATGGATTGGAAATAGCAAGTGCATTGTCAATGTTTCATTTAGAATTTGCTTTTATCTAAAGGTGCTTCCCAATCTTTCTACCTTCCCACAGTATTTCTGTATGTATTTGCTGGCCATGCCTTGGTGAAAGGTGGTTTTTTTTTCTGGTGCATTGATCAACTTTAAAAAAACCCCCAAAATTAAAGTATTTGTTTATTATTATCTGTAAAAGTTAATATTCCCACAGAATGTGTTTTGCTCATAGGCTTTCATTATCATCATATATATTAAGTTTGTTTAGCTCCCAGACTATAAGCTGCAGTTATGATTTAATGCCTGGTGGAAAGAATATGATACAGGAAAATACAAATAAGACAGGCAAGAGATTATTTACCCCCCTCAAGCTGAGCACAATTCTTATTTAGCTGATGTGTCTGCAGCCTCTGATTTGCATCACCCCAACAAGATTTCCAAAGCTTTTGCTTTTTCTTGCCACGAGCACATTATGTTTTAGCGTTTTGTTTAATGTGCCTTTTGCAGTTTGGGATCAGCAGCAGTGTGGGTTTCTGTAGGTGGTTTGTGTTAATGCATGTTTTCACACGTGGAGCTGTTCTAATGGACTTTGCTTTGTAATGTAAAGAAAGTATTCAAAACTGCTTTTGTTTCTTTGTTTATTTCACATCTCTTTGTTTACTGTGTCTTGTTTGGGATTTCTTGCTTTGCACTTCATCCAGAACACCTTGGACAGCATGCAGGTATTTTAGGGCATAAATTCTCCTCTCCCTGTCCTGAGTCCTGCACTTGTCCCTTGAGCACGAGAGCCCTGCCTCAGCTTGCATGGGATGCGTGCTGGAACCATTGTTCTGCGAGCATGCTCTGCATTCATCAGCCTGATACCAAATCACCAAAACCAGGACGATTTGCTACGAGAAATTAACCTTGGCATGGTTTAATGAGAACTCAGATCCTGGTTTTCAAAGTCAATTCCTCACGAGCATGCCCAGTAGGAATGGTTTGGTAGTTCCCTGCAGGTTGTACCTTTCTGGCTGTGTGGATTTGGTGTGAATTCAGATTGTTCCTTTGCCGAGCAGAGGTTTAATGTTTTCCGTGATGTTTTCACCCGGCTGCTGCAAGGGAGGGGCACCAGCGCAGCACAAGGGGCTCCCCAGGGCTCTGAATTCACACCTGGCCACCTGGAAAGCTGCTCATCATCTCACCTGTGCTGTGTGCACAGTGTCTGGCTGGCATGGATGGAGCCTGCCTCGGTTCCCAGGGCACTGGGAGCTCGGCACATCCAGCTCAGATCCAGCTCAGATCCAGCTCAGATCCAGCTCGGATCCAGCTCAGCACATCCAGCTCAGATCCAGCTCAGATCCAGCTCAGATCCAGCTCAGATCCAGCTCAGCACATCCAGCTCAGATCCAGCTCGGATCCAGCTCGGATCCAGCTCGGAACCTGCCCAGCTGTGGCACAGCTGGAACACCCTGAGCCCCTGCCAGGGCAGCTCCAGCTCCAGGAGCCTGGGCACAGGGTGAAAATTCACAATTCTGGGGCTGTGAGCACAGATTAAATGGCAGGAACCACGGCACAGGGTGAAAATTCACAATTCTGGGGCTGTGAGCACACATGGTTCTGCAGGGTCAGACACAAATTTGTAGATTTTCTGCAGTGAGCTGGGGCTGGCTGGCATGTGCCTGGAGTCAAGGAAGAGGGATGAGCATGGGGATGCCTCCTGGTAGCTCAATCATGGCTCTCATGGCAAATTTTCTTTATAAAATGAGCTTTGTGCTCACTTCTAACTCACCACCCTACTAAAAACACAGCAGTAAAGGCATTTACTGCAATAGAGATAATTTTTTAAGTTAATAATAATATTCATACTTTTTCAAAAATACTTTTAAGGCAGCCTCAGCTCCTTGTTGAGGTCTGGATTGTGATTGATTTTATTTTTTTTTTGTGCTAGAGTTTCCATAGCTGCTTGTGGAAAGGTTATTAATATTCTTAGAGAGTTGAATAGCTCATCCTTAAGCTTTCCAATGGAAAGTGGGGACCAAAAAAAACCCAAGCCAGTTTTCATCTTTGTTTGCTTAATGTCCTTTTGAAACTGTGCATTGATGCCATTTTCATGCAGCAAATTAACAAGCAGCAAAGTCTGACATTTCATTTGCTCAAAAGCACAGTGAAAAAATAAAAAATGAAAGACAAAAACCCCAAACATTTCATGTTTGTGTAAAACTCCCACAATGTCTGATTCTTGCTGTTCTTCGTTCCATAATTAATCAGATGGATACCCTGAGATTTCTTGTGCAGAAATAAATTAATTTGTGTGTTATGAATGCAAAGAAATTATATATTTAAAATTCACACTGACTTAAAAAACGTATTTGTTACAAGAACAGGAACAAACAGTACCATCTTGTAGAGTAGACATTTGGATTTTTGGGTTCTTCTGGGTGCTGTAAGTATTTTCCTTTAGCTAGGACCTTTTTTATAGGTGGTACATAATACATGTTGTTTTCTTGATATATAAAATGTACAGTTTTTCTTACACAAACTGAGAATGGTTTTTTCCTTTAAAAAAAGCAGAACTCTTAGTTCAGTTGAGTGACTTTAATTACTAGCCAGACCTCCTTTGTTAGTACAGCTGCTTACCCAAGCACAGGAGGGGTTTTTAATGAGGGAAGGTGATGTTTGTTCACCAGACCTGGATCCATTATTATCCCCTTAATTTACCTGGCCCAGTGAATGTGCAGATTTGGATAAAAGGGGGTTTTGTGCTGTAGTGTCCTCACTGCTCTTTGCACATTTGGAGTCAAACCTGGAGCAACCTGCAGAGTTCCCCTTGCCCTTTGTCTCGGCTTCCAGCCAGGGAATGTGGTGAATCCATCACCAGCAATTCAGAATTCATTCTGGCTAGGCAGATTCCCAGCTCACAACAGACACTGATCTTTTAGGTTCTGTTGTGTTGAAGCCTGATGCCTTTAATTCAAACAAAACTGCTGCATTTTGGGATTTCTCCCAGGCTCACCAAAGCCTGTTCGTGGCTGGTGCCTGCAGCACCTTGCTGTGGTTTGGATTTGCAGTGAGCAGCGTTGTTTGAAGGGCAGTTCAGCCAGGGGCTGGGCCCAAATTCTGCAGGAGCCACTGGGGGTTTTCTGCTCTTGTTGGGTTTTAATTGACAAATGTTAAAGCAGCAATTTAGGAAGTGTCAATTTAATAGCAGAAGATGGGCAGAGATACCTCAGAGATACACCTGGTTTTTAGAGAAAGCTGGGAAAGCGCACAAAACCGACACTCAGGTGTGCGAAGAAGTCTCAAAGCTGTAGGATCTCCTTGCAGGTGTTGTTGGCAGTGATGTTTCAGCACTGCCAGGGTGTAAGATGAGGGATTTCCCCTCTGGAAGGAGAGATGGTCTCGGTGTTCCCCATCCGCGCGTGGGTCGCGTTCTGCGCGGGTGGGAGTTGGGAGGGAGCCCTGGGGCTGTCCCGGCTCCTGTGCCTGTCCTGGCTCCCAGCTCCTGTGCCTGTCCTGGCCCCAGGAGCTGGCCAGGCAGGCTGTGGCAGTGGCTGTGTGTCCTGCAGGCCAAGGTGCGGGAGCTGGAGGAGAAATGCCGGACGCAGAGCGAGCAGTTTAACCTCCTGTCGCGGGAGCTGGAGCGGTTCCGGCAGCAGGCGGGCAAGATCGACCTCCTCAGCAGCAACTCCCTGGCACCCCCGGGCCTGGCCGGGGCTCCTGGAAAATCCCTGTCCCAGCTGATGAATGGAATTGCCACTTCCATAGGCAAAGGTAAGGAGCAGCAGTGCGCTGTGCTGCTGCAGGGTGGGATGGACACGGAGCTCCCCGCGCAAACGGGATGGAGAATCCACTCCTGGTGGCACCTTCCCATTCCCAGAGCATCTCCTCAGCCTCCACTGAGCTTGTTCTGGTTTCATCTGGGCACTGCTGGGAGCAAAATCCTCTCTGATTGTTGAGTGTGGTGGTAAGAAGCCTGTTCAGTGTTAAAATCCCATATTCTTCATGTCAAAATACAGCTCTCTGTGAGAGGAAGAGTGTCTGCACGTACAGGCGTTGTTGGCAACCCTCCCCGTGGCAGGGACAGGAGCAGGTCTGCTCTCCTGTTGAAGGAGGAGTTAATGGGGAAAGAAAGCACAGAGACCCCACACACTGCATTGGCCATTAGATAAAAACCATTTCAGCACAGCTGGGTAGGCGGTGGCGAGACTGAAGGGAGTGTTTTGACAGACATGAAAATGGATTGGGCTCAGTTTCATTTGTGCAACAGAAATTATGCTCTTCTCCATAAGAATTTGAAAGTAAAACATTTCATAAAGCAAAAAAATATTTTCAAGAGAAATGGAGAACATAAAGTAAAACAACAGAATTATTTTACATCTGTATTGATGTTGTTACACTGGCAGTCCCCAGCAGAGTCAACAGTGTGTGTTTATCCAAGATCTGTGCTGAACTTTCACCAGGTCATCTCCTGTTGCCAGAGGCAACGGCTCTCCCAAGTGCACAGCTTTGTAAACGATCCATTATTCATAGGAAAATTACAAAGATCAAGGCAAGAGGTTACCTGAGGACACTTAAAAACAACTTCTACATATATCACATATTAGATTGTGTGTTATTGCATGTGAATCACCTTAGATTGTGTTATTCCATGTCAATCACATGTTAGTGTGTGTTATTCCATGTCAATCACATGTTAGTGTGTGTTATTCCATGTCAATCACATGTTAGTGTGTGTTATTCCATGTCAATCACACGTTAGTGTGTGTTATTCCATGTCAATCATACATTAGTGTGTGTTATTCCATGTCAATCATACATTAGTGTGTGTTATTCCATGTCAATCACATGTTAGTGTGTGTTATTCCATGTCAATCATACATTAGTGTGTGTTATTCCATGTCAATCACATGTTAGTGTGTGTTATTCCATGTCAATCATACATTAGTGTGTGTGTTACTCCATGTGTGATCGGTACCACCCAGGCTGGAATCACTTCAGCTGTCCTGTGAAGAAGAACAGTTGTCAGGTTGTTCTCGTTACAAATGCCCCCGAAGTTGTTTGAGTTTGTTCCTGCTTCAGTGTCCCTGTTTGTTCCTTTCTCCCTGGGCTTGCAGAGGAGCTCTGGGTTTCAGGGGCTGGAGGTCAGAGGCATTTCCCTGCGGTCAGGGAAGGTGCTGAGCTCCGTGTGACAGCAGGGCAGGAGCAGCTGAGGTGACAGCCCTGTCTCATTCCAGTGGCTCAGGATTTGTGTGCCTGGCTTTCCTGGACAGGGCTGGAGCCCCTGGCAGCTCCCTGTGGTGCTCAGGCTGTTCTGGAGCTCCAGGCTTCCCTGGGTGGGCATTAAAGGCACCAAATGCAGAATTCTGAAGGCATTTCCTGATAGAAGAATTTGGTAGAAATTTCCTTGATACCCACAGCAATAGCTCCTCATGTCTCTAAGGACAGGATTTTCAAAGCAACAATTAATTTAAAAGGAAAGGTAATTAGGTATTGAGCTGTCCTTTAGGCAGAAGGGAAGGTCCAGCCTGTATCACTGTGATTGATTTAATGAGAAATGGAAATCAGCTAAACACCTTTTGGGTACCCAGCCAATCTCTGATTTATACTTATGCTAATGGAAAAAGCTTTTTAAAAACTTCAAAACATGCCCAGCTGACATCTCCCAATTAACCCTTGAGTAAAACCACAGCAAACACAGCCAGGTCTGCAGCCAAGGCATTTAAGGGCCTTCCCCTCTAAACCTTTTCTCAAAACCTTTTGATTTTTATGGGACTTGGAATTCAGGGCCTGCAGCACTTGTGTCTAAACACCAGAACTGCTTGGACAACATTTATCCTCAGTGTGAATGCACTGATAACAATAAAGTCATGTTTGAGCAAGTGGGCAGGATTTCTATTTATTGAAATCAGCCCTTTCTCAGTAATGATGGTAGAGTACAGCAAGTTCTTCTAACCAGAAGTGTATTATTTTTATTATGTGTAAGGAAGAAAGAACATGAGAGGGAACACAGGGACAGCTTTCAAAGCAAAGCAAATGATGGAAATTAAATCAGTTTATGACCAGCTGCCTTGCCTTAATTGGTGATGTTTGAATGTATCAGGAAATGAAATAAACCTAGCCAGGATAGATTAGAGCATGAAAAGTTCACTTTAAAGGTACAATAATGTCACCATCAGATATAGAAGCCTTAAGATTTATTATTCATCAGTTAAAAGGCTCATTTTAAATGGTCTTTCTAGATAATTTAGGTAGTCCATATGGAATCAGCAATTGCAATAAATAAAATGGAGACTCTAATTGTAATGCAAGTATGGACAGATTTAATTCTCCTGAAACATTTAAATTAGATCTGGTGCTCTTCCTTTTTCCTTGGTAGGTTGTTCTTCAGACTTCCTTAACAAATATTTTCCAGTCATAGGAAAATAAAGGCCATTTTAAGCATATATGGATTTAAAAAGACTTCGTGGACAAAACCCCTGTGGCTTTACAAGGTTCTTCTCTAATACTTAAAGAAAAAAACCCCAGACATTTCTAAATGCTGCTGTGTGTTCTTATGAGCTGACTTCTTGTATATTTTATTTTTAACTCTGTTTTTTTTTTTTTCCAGAGGGAAAATGTAAAAGGAAAGGTGTTTTACTGAGGGTTTTTTGTTTGGTTTTTTTTTTTGTAAGTTTCCAGTTAAGAAGCTTTAAAAGTCTGCAGCTCTGACTCCTTGTCATTCTGCTGTTCAAGCCCAGAGCCCTCAGTGTAATTGCCTTGGGTGAATGAGAGAACCAGGTTTATTCAGCTGCTTTTTTTGGAGGTGAACAGGCCAGGTTTTAAATGCAGCTTTTTTGTCTGTGCTGCTGTGTGGACAACAGGAACAGAGTTCCTCCCCAGGAACGCTCAGGAGATCACACATCCTCAGGAGCAATGTGCTTCCTGCACTCTGAGGCTGCCTTGCTCTGATTTCTTGTTTTGCAAAGGCATTACCTGGTGATGTTTGTGTTCCAGCTGTGGCTCTACAGACCTAGAACCACATGAATTTACACAGGACATTTGTCTCATCACCTCTGTAAAAGCTCCTTCCTCTGCAGAATACCCAGGAGCTCACTGCTAACAGTGATTGGGCACATTTCTGACACAGAAATCTGTTCTCTCCATTTATGCTCTTGCTGTGGGATATTCAGAGCCTCTGCTGGGCAGGGAGGTGGAGGCTGTGTGGAGTTATCAGCACTAATTATTGAAATCAATAATGATGGCAGAGTACAGCAGGTTCTTCAAAGCACGAGTGTCATTATTTGGGGCCAGAGATCCCCTTCACACAGGCCCAGCCACCACACACCTTTCTCTCCTGTGTGTTGAGGACTCAGGGTGAATTTTATGTACCTTATTTTCCACCTGAAAAAAATAAGACAGATCCATATCTTCCAGCATCTCGGTATTCCTGGAGTTCCTGATGGTGTGTGGTGTGTGCTGGCAATTATCCTATATGGCTACAAAGCAAGGGCTGCATTGCCCTAGCACCTTCCTCCACATTTTGTACCTAGTGCCAGCAATTTGGAAACAAAGCCTGGAGAATGCAGGAGGTCTGAGAGCAGCCAGAGGCTTCCTTTGAATGAATAATCACAGTTGGCCCAATTATTTATAGCTTGGCGCTGGCTGGCTGAGATGGCAAACACATTAACAGCAAACAGAAGGAGCTAAATTGGCTAAAGGTTCCTGAACGGGGAGGACTTTTCTGTGAGAGATGTGAGAAAGGTTCCAAGAATAAGAAATGTGCCCTTTTCCAGCCTGGGGATTGCTCTGAGTGGGGCTGGTTGTAATTAATCTTTTGTGTGGTGAGTTATATGTTTCCCTGCTGTCAATGTGCTTCAGCTGGCCTGCTGTAAATTACAGAGATGCAGAGAAAATTAATCATATTGGCCTAATGAGCCCAGCAGAACAAGCCCCTGATGGTATTCCTGGAGCTCATTGTCCTCCGGGGTGTGAACAAAGAGGTTCCTCTGATGATTCCTGGTGATGTGGACTGGGACTCCTGCAATTCAGTAACAAAAACATTGCTGTCCAGACTTCTGGGAGAACAGGAGAGGAAATGCTGAACCTTTTTCAGGGCCTGAAAAATTAGAGCACAGGCTCATTATGCTAATGAGAGGCAGAATGCCCTGTGCACATCTGGGTGTGTCAGCAGCTCACTGCTCTGCTGTAGCTTCTGCTCAGCCTGCAGGTGAAATCCAGCTCAGGTCACAATTCCTGCTTCCACCTGCTTTGGGGACTGAGCTAACAGTGAAAGGTAAAGTGTACAAGTGGTTTTTACTCAGCTTTATTAGTCTCTCCTGCAGCCTCGATGCTGTTGTTCTTTTTGCTTGTCTCACCTCTGGTTTTCACCCGAGTCAGGAGGAGCTGCGTGTTCAGCCTCTTGTGAGCCTGTTCAATATAATCTGTCTTTTCCTTTCTCCTAAGCTGTTTTTAAAAAGCACAGTAAAAATAGCCCAAAAGGATTTTTGGAGATTTTCCCTTTTGCTCAGTCTTAGTTTCCATGTTTTAGAAACTGGAGAGATGGCCCTGGGATCAAATTAATGTGCTTTAGTGCTGCTATCGGTGAGGAGCTCCTCAGAAATATGAAGCAGGTGCTCCTTCCTGCCTGCCAAAAGTCAAACAACTTCATTGCAAAATGGATATCCTGCCAAGTAGATCATTAGCATTTTGGTGTCTCTTTTAGAAGGCAGATGTATGACTTGATCCTGATTTCCAGTGTGTGACAGAGTCCCTGAAGGAGCCCGAGGTTCCATCAGCAGCTCTGTAGTGTGGGGTGTGTTTCACAGCACGTCACAGAGCTTCCCCAAACATCCCAAGGGGCTCAGAACAAACGTGGGCTTCTTTTCACTGGGGGAAACTTCACCTTTGGATCCTTGGAATGAAAATGCCTTCACTTTGTGCCTTGTGTTTTGTTACGTGTTGTTGACTCCGGCAATTCACCGGAGCCGGGAGCTGGCAGGCTGAGCTGTGCTCTGCAGTCTGCCCACCACAGCCTTCCTCCTGGAGGATTTTAAACAGGAGAGGAAAATAACCTTCTGCTGTGTGTTGGCAGTGCTCCTGCTTGAGATCCATTCCTGATTCTGGTGTGTGTTCTGTTCACTGGCAGGTCATGAAAGCCCTTCTGGGAGTCGCTGTGTGATTTCAGAGTTTATCCGGCCCCTTCAGATATCTGGAGACAAACCAGAACAATTGTCTGTCAAACCCACATTCCTGTCCAAGTCAAGATCTGGGACCCCAAGATGCAGATTTGATTCAGACGTGAGTCTTTTTGAATTTTTTTACAGAAAAGTGATTTAGGGCTGAGCCTTCTCTGCCCCAGCAGGCTGTGCAGGTTGATCCACCTGCTTTGGAAAAACCAAGAGAGGAATGTTCTCATTTTCTGAGGCAGCTCAGGAGCACCATCAGTGGGATATTCTCAAAGAAGCTGCAGTTGATGTCCCAGTTACACAGGGTGAAAATCAGGTGTGTGGAGCTGGAGTTTCTCTGAAGGTCTCAGGCCTCATGATGCACTCAGAGCATTTCAGTGCCTCTGGGAGGGGGCAGAGCAGCATTTCTGCAGTGGGGCAGGGCTCTGGCAGGCAGCTTAGCAGTGTTCCAGCTCCCAAAAGCTGGGGCAGAAGGAGCAGGAGTTCCCTGCTGTGCCCCAGGGTGCTGGGACAGGAAAATGGTTCCTTTTGCAGGATTCATTCCTGCCTGGCTTTCCTGGTGTGTGAATCTCCCCCTGCAGCAGGGCACACACCACCTGCTCACAGCCTCCCCTGCTCCTCCTAAAGCATTCTGAGCCTGGAAAATGGAAGTGAAATTGCAGGGTGTTGTCACTAAAGTCATTCAACTCTACATTTTGTATTCAGTCATACTTTTGAAGGGTTCTGTTCCTCCTTTCTCAGGAAGCTTTTCTGCTTTTCAGTGGAATTCCACTAGAAATCCAATGGGAAGCTCAGAAAAGCTTTTCAAAGGGGCCATAACAAGTTGGTTTTTAATATTTAGGACAAATGTTAAATATAAAAACTGCATAGAACAAATTCTGGAGACTCTGTAGAAGGGCATTATTTTCTATTAAATACCCTGGTTGCTATGGGCAGATAGCCATGAGAAAATGATCTTCAGATTTTACCCCTCATTTCACAAAATCCCTTTCCCAGTCTTTACAGGAGTAAATAAATTGCCACTGTGTGCATACTTTCTGTCTATGTAATATTCATTGACACTGAAAATGGGAAAGTTGATGGAATCAGAGTGTTTCTAAATGGATCACAAGCCTGAGGATATTCAACAAAATATTGGATTCTTGTATAGTGGGAATTCCTTGGGCATATCTGAGGATTATCCACAGGAAATATTTGTGTATATTTGTGTAGCAGCATTACTGAAAAGTGGAAACATTCACTGCTTTTTGAAGAGGCCACAGAAAAAGCAGCTTAGCAAGGAGACTTAGGGAAGCAGAACTAACAGCAAGGAACAGAAGAAGCACACGTCAAGTTGAATTCCCCTTTTCTATTATTTTTGAGTTATCTCTCAGTGAGAATGTCAAGCCCTCTTTTGCAGAACTGTACATTTTGTGCCTTCTAGAGTGTAATTATGTGATACACTCTTACATTATGCAAGCTCACAGAAATTAAGCTCCATTCCTTTCTAGAGATACCCAGACCCAAGGGAGGGTGTATGAATAAAATCTAAAAAATGGAAAATAATGCTGGGAAGCCTGAAATAAACAAACAAACAAATAAATAAATAGTTACTCTGCAAATAATGCAGTTGCAAGTGCCCTGGTTGTTCTATTAAAAAGCCTTCTAGAACAAGCATTCCTGGTTGTGTGCTCGATGAGGTACCAGGGGATAATCCTGGCAGATTTTCCTGGGTGTCCCAGTGCTGCACAGGGAATCCCTGGGAGCTGGAGCAGTGTGGGCTGGGCTGAACCACCCCTCAGGAAAAGGCACTTGACTCAGAATTTTCCTGGTGTGCTTTGGGCAGGGACCAGTTTAGACCTGGCAGCTGCAGTTCAGTGCTCACTCTGTCTGGGTTGTAAAATTTTGCTCTGCTTTTGAACAAGTTATTTTATTTGATCCCACTGTTACTCCAGTACTTCTACCTCAATTAAAGTTCTCTCAAGCTCAGGCAGAAAGTTGGTCATTTTTTCTGAAATGGCTCACAGCAAACTCTACAATAAGTGAAGTTCAGCCCTCACTTTAAAACCTCTAGCTCAAAGCATAGCTGAAATTACTGTTTTACCTGTGAGGAACCTCGTGCAGAGCTAAAATAGGCAGAGTCTGTGTTGATTCAACACCACAACTAAATCTCTGGGTTTTGTGGACCAGATTTGTAATGGAATAAATGTGTGGCTTCACAGGATTGAATTAAATGTGATGTTAAATTCAGAAGAAAATTTGTTATTTCCTTCAGTTAGTGGAAAAGGTGGCATCAACAGATGCTGATGCTGCGGGTTGGGTTGGAATGGGTTGGATTGGGTTGGTTTGAGTTGGATTGGTTTGGGTTGGGTTGGGTTGGGTTGGAATGGGTTGGGTTGGGTTGGGTTGGCAGGGGGGGTCTATTTTGTGTTTCCAGGGGTTTGGAAGTTGACATTTGCACCAGTTCTAAATTCAGCATTTGTTTTAAGTACTCAGTCACCGGAATCTGCCCTTCTAAGTAAAATTAACCAGTTGTGTTCCATGTTAGAATTGAATTTTTTTTCCCCTTGATATTGGGTGTTCACTGATTTATATCTCCTGTCAGGAAAAATATTTCTTCTTCTTTTTTTTGTAATCACATTCTCTTTTTTCTCCCCTCTCACAGATGGATAATGATCAGAATTCCAATACCTCAAAGCAGAGATATTCTGGGAAAGTCCACCTTTGCATTGCCCGGTACAGGTAAAGCTCCCCTCTCCTCACAGGTGTCACACACAGCTGTGAAATTCAACATCAGGTGTGGCTGCACTTCACCTGTGTGCTGAGTGATGATGGGATGGATGGTTATGGTTATGGTTGTGGTTATGGTTGTGGTTATGATTGATTATGGTTGTGGTTATGGTTATGGTTATAGTTATGATTGATTATGGTTCTGATTATGGTTATGGTTATGATCGATTATGGTTCTGATTATGGTTATGGTTATGATTGATTATGTTTATGATTATGGTTCTGATTATGGTGATGGTTATGATTGATTATGGTTATGGTGATGGTTATGATTGATTATGGTTATGATTATGGTTGTGATGGGGTGGATGTTGTGGTGCTGTGCTGTTTGCACTTGGAGCTGTCAGTGGGAGCTGAGCACCCCCTGCCTCTCCACCCCCTGCATTCCTGCCCTTCAGGTCTAAATCAGATTTAATGGCACCTCCTGCTCTGGAGAGGAGCTCTCAGTCTCTTCTTATCAATTACTTTTTCAAGCAAGAAAGGATTTTGAGTCCATCACTGCTCTGCACATTAAGATTTCAGGCATGAACTACTGTCATGGTGAAAATTTCAGTGACTAGCAGTTTCTTTCAGGATGGATACGGATTTAAGTAATTAATAAATACTTTTTGTCTCTCAGTAGCTTCCCTTAGATGTAGCTCACTGTTTTTTGTCTTCTTTTACCTTGCCTGTGTAGAAGTTTAATGAACTTGTGTAAAAGGAACATAAAATTGAATACAGTGACTGGAAAAGACCCCCACCACTGAGTTTGCTTTAATTCTCCAAAAAATAAAGAGAATTTTGGCCAGTGTTTTTCAAGAGCCCTAAGTGGGAAGTGTCTGAGTAAACCCTGCAGGAAAGGACACGGGTTTAGGGTAGAGGGGACCTCAGAGGCACAACCTGACCCAGGCCCACTCAGAAGGTGCCTCAGAAGGGAGGCAAAGACAGCCTGGGGAGATTGTCCTGCGTGGAGCTGTGGCCCTGAGCTCTGCCTGTCCCCCCACAGCTACAACCCCTTTGATGGACCAAATGAGAACCCAGAGGCGGAGCTCCCTCTCACGGCAGGAAAATACCTTTATGTCTACGGGGACATGGACGAGGACGGCTTCTACGAAGGTACTTTTTATTGAATCCATGAATTCATGCTAATTCATGCAGATTGGAATCGGCTCATCTGTCAAACACGCTCCAAATTCCTTCCTTCGTCTGCTCCTAAATCGGTTGCTAAAATTAGCTTTATCATCGTGGTGTTAATTAAAAGAGTTTCTGCATCAGCAAAGCCGCTCCTTGCAGGCAGAGCTAATTATAAGATATTTTATGGTGTCAGCTTTTCCTACTGGCAAGATTTAAGTTGACAAAAAAGCTTAGTGGCAGTTCTGGTATTTCCCTTACTAGGCCTTTGTTCCCAAACTGGGGGTGCTCATGTGTTTCACTCACCCCTCGCCCCCTGTCCTGCCCCCTCTCAGGGCACTGCCATGCAGGAGCTCTCCTCCATCAGGGGTTTCATGGCATTGCTCTTTCTCACCAGGAGAACTTCTGGATGGACAAAGAGGACTGGTCCCTTCGAACTTTGTGGATTTTGTTCAAGACAACGAGAGCCGGTTGTCAAGCACACTGAGCAGCGAGCAGGATCAGAACTTCATCAACCGCTCGGGCCCTCCCCTGGAAGGAGATCTCTTGGAGATCAGTCCCCCGAGTCACATCGACTCCGGCGTGGTCAGCAACGGCGCGGGGACGCTGGATGTGAACATTGATGAGATTGGAGAAGACATTGTGCCTTATCCTAGAAAAATCACCCTTATCAAACAACTAGCCAAAAGTGTTATTGTGGGCTGGGAGCCACCGGTGGTGCCGCCCGGCTGGGGAACCGTCAGCAGCTACAACGTCCTGGTGGACAAGGAGATCAGGATGAACGTAGCCCTGGGCAGCAGGACGAAAGCCCTGATAGAAAAGCTCAACATCTCCACCTGCACGTACCGGATATCCATCCAGAGCATCACCAACAAGGGCAACTCCGACGAGCTGCAGTGCACCTTGGTGGTGGGCAAGGACGTCATCGTAGCCCCCTCCAACCTCAGAGTGGACAACATCACCCAGATTTCTGCTGAGCTGTCCTGGCTCCCTACAAACAGTAATTACAGTCATGTCATCTTCCTGAACGAGGAGGAGTTTGACATTGTCAAGGCTGCTAGCTACAAGTACCATTTTTTTAATTTGAAGCCCAATATGGCCTACAAGGTGAAGGTCATGGCAAAGCCCCACCAGATGCCCTGGCAGCTTCCCCTGGAACAGCGAGAAAAAAAGGAAGCCTTTGTGGAATTTTCTACATTGCCAGCAGGTTGGGTATTTTCCTTCGTACCCCAAAACTCTTCAGTTGAATTTCTCTGAAAATGCTAGATAAAATGCTTTAACCTTCACATCATTTAGGGGATGTAAGTGCATTTTGGTTGTGGAGCTGTAATTGACTCCATTGCACAATTTGAATTTGTAAAGTCAACAGATTTGTTGTGTTTTGGAAAGTCTGAGGTTTTTTTCCCACCTGGCTTTTACATTAAGGGTGTTGGTAAGTGTTGTCACTCATTTGCCATTATTCAAGAACCTTGAAGTGGTGTTGAAAACTAGAGCAGAAATAATGGAGTGAATTTGAAGGATAATCTCTTGTTTTGGGGGCGTATGGCAGCAACTGAAAAAATCTGAGTGTCTTTCCTTTCAGATTTACCTACCCAAGGTCATCTGATCATGGCCAAGCAGGAGACCCTTGGGGGTAAACACTAAATATTCAGTGTTTCAGGTCCCTGGGTGCCTCTGAAGGGACACTCAAGTTCAAGTGGCCCCTGGCAGGTGAAACATCAGCAGATGTTCTGGGCTGGGGTTTGCTCCCTCCCTGCCAGGCTTTGGTTCCAGCAGAGGGGCAGGAATTCCTGCTGCTCTCCTCCTCAGCCTGCCTGACTCTCATGAGAGGAGACAGGGAGGGCAGAGGGGAGGGGAGTGAGGCTTTGATTGATGCCAGTCTGTTTCCAGTGAAGGTGTCCTGACACGTTTCCCTTTAGTCTGGAATCGCTGCACGGTGGCAGTGCTGGTGTGGGATGTGCTGGGAGGAGGGCACCTCACCCCTGGGATGTGTCCTGGGGGAGCTGGGAGGCACTGCCTGGGTGCTGGCTTGAACTCATTTCAACTTTGCTATTTAGGAAAGGCCTTTTGAAGTGAGGGTTTTTCCAGGCTAAGCACTTCCCATGCTGCATCTCCCTCTAGCTGTGGAGTCTGCTGAGCAGTGCAGAGCTGTTCTCTGCTGAGGAGATCGAGCCACAGCTTTTAGAACCAGAATCTTCCCCAGTGCTTCATTTCACTTCTACAGAACCCAGTCAGCTTTTCACTGTTGTGTAGAGAAAACAAAATAGCAGCTGTGGCCGTGATCAGAGGCTGATGCCTGATTGCAGAGCCACTGGAACAAAGGAAAAGGATGAATTTGGAGTCAGTGATGGGAGTTACCATCATAGTGCCATGCAATTGAATTCATCTTCATTCATCAATGGAATGCAATTGCTTAAACAAAAATAGAAGTGTTTCTCTCTTGGGCACTCAGATCTGAAAATAGAGATAAGTACAGGATCAGGACCAATGGGGCTGCTGTGGTTTTTGGAGCTAATTTATGTGAAAAAAAGGAGAAAAGTGTAGCAGAATTCCAAAATAAACATTTATGTTGGTGACCAAGACCATGGAAAACCATCAGGAATAATTTCCCATTTAATGTTGGGAGGAAATAGAAGCCATGCTGAGCCTCGGGCACTGCAGTTTATTAAACCTGGCTCTGCCACAGCCTGTGAAGGTCGAGACAGACACCCTGGGGATTGTTTGGTTTTGGGGAATGAAGGGAAGGTGACTCCTCCTGCAGGAGCAGATTAATGTCATTGGCATTGGCAGGAGGCTGGGTCAGATCAGATGCATTCTAGCTTGTAAGCTGAGCAGCCCTGCTGAGCCGGGAATGCTGGCTGTCAATAAAGCAGGAGGATCAGTAAAGCTGAAATTCAACCCCAAACCAATATCTCTCTTGGCCAAGAATAATATTAGGCCAATTTGCATACTCTTCACTTGCAAGATAAAAATACTTTATATATTCAGGGATGGTATAAGCAAAAACTTCCTGTTGTGCCTGTACTGAGCTGAACATGACCATGGTTTTATTTCCATGTCTGCTGGAGGCTGGAATTCAGCAGAGCAGTGAAATGCACTGGCTGTTTGCTGGTGCCTGTGTGGTGTTTGCAGATTATTGTGCACACAGTAAAGTGTTTGTAGCTCTTGGGCAGATGAACAGGAATGGGCTGTGTTTGGTTCCCTGGGAGAAGGGTTTCCCAGCAGCCAAGCCTGTGTTCTGTTCTGCAGAGACGGCTGCAGCTGGGCCCTGACACCTTTTAGCAGCAGACTCTGCTCAGGGTTTGATGGTTAAATCTACACAACAGGATGCTTGAAAAATTCATGAACTAATAAACTCTGTGATATTTTTACTTTGGCTTTCTGGCCAAAGAAGAGCTATTTATAGTGGGGTAATGCCTTTTAATTAAGGAGCTATTTGGTTGTGGTTACACTGACATACTGTCAGTGCCTTCAGAGGTTTGGGTGTGTTTTTTGATTCACGGCAGAGAAGGGACTGTGAGAGCAGCTGTCCTTTAATCAGCTGCTGGAAAATGCTGAAGTTTCAGCTTGCAGCCCACTCTGCACCTCAGTTCACTGCACTTCTGACCTGAGGCTCGAGAGTGACCATTCCCATCTCTCTCAGGTCCTCCAGCTCCACCTCAAGATGTGTCTGTCCGGGCAGGGTCCACGCCAGGGACCATCCAGGTGTCCTGGAAGCCCCCGGTGCTGTCGGCGACGGGGACGTCACACGGTGCCAGCGTCACGGGCTACGGTGTCTACGCCAAAGGCCAGCGGGTGAGTCCGTCCTGCTGCCTCAGGAATTACAGCTGGCAGGGTGGCACAGCCCTGCAGGGACTGTGGGGGCTGCCAGTGGAGCCTGTGCTGTGCTTTGGGCACAGCTCACTGCCCCTCTAACAGCCCTTTGGCCATCGGGGTTGGGAGGATGAAATTGGGGTCGGTGATGGGAGTCACCCCATGGTGCCAGCTGGGGCAGGGGCTCTCAGCCCAGCAGCTCCCTCTGTGCAGGCTCTGGAGGCTGTTCCTGGGCAGGGCTGAGGGGAGGGCGGCAGGGCGTGGTGCTCACAGGTGTGTGTGCCCTCAGGTGGCAGAGGTGATGTTCCCAGCAGCCGAGAGCACGCCGCTGGAGCTGCGGATCCTGCGGAGCCTGGACGCCAGGGAAGTGACGGTCCGGACGCTCTCTGCGCAGGGAGACTCGGTGGACTCTTGTGTTGCTGCCATTCCATCTGACCTCCTGGTGCCTCCAACCCCTCACCCCAGAACCGCTCCCAAATCTAAGCCATTAGCAAGTGCCGGAGCCCCAGAAACCAAAGAAGAACACTTAGGCCCGCATTTAAAAAGGGATGAGTCGTGGGAGCAGACTCGTTCGGTGTCCCCTGTCCACGGACACATGCTGGAGCCACCCAACTTCCACGGCCCACTCCAGGGGAGGAGATCTCCATCCCCCAACAGAATCCTGCCCCAGCCTCAAGGCACTCCAGTCCCCAACACCGTCGCAAAAGCCATGGCAAGAGAAGCTGCACAAAGAGTGGCAGAGAGCAACAGGGTAAAGGCAAACTTCTTCCTGAGGCTTTTGGGGGTGGTTTGTTCATTGTGGCGCTTGACAGCCAAGAATTTTCATTGTGTGCCCTGAGGTGATCATCCCTAAGCTCTGAAGATGCATGGCTTGGGATGCAGCGTGCCTGTAAAGCCCTTCTGTGCCCACTGCCATGGGTCCACAGGGAATTTGACATATTTGTCCTTCCCAGTGCTGCATTTCCACACTTGTTTGCAGCTGCTTTTTGTTCCAGCTCCTCCTGGAGCTGCCAGCAGTGTCACTGCCCGGGCACACCCCTGTGTGGGCACCTCTGTGTCCCTGGGGCAGGGACAGTGATCCTCACAGCTCTCTGCTGTTTTGCCCTGCTAGATGGAGAGGAGAGCATTTATTTATTTGCCGTTTGTGTCCCTGGGGCAGGGACAGTGATCCTCACAGCTCTCTGCTGTTTTGCCCTGCTAGATGGAGAGGAGGAGCGTTTTCAGCGAGCGGAGCAGCGCGGCCCCGTTCTCCGATGAGGAGGAGGATGGTTATGACTCCCCCAAGGTCAAGCGAAGGGGAGCCTCGGTTGATGATTTCCTGAAAGGGTCAGAGCTTGGCAAGCAGGTGAGTGGCCTGGTTTTGTTGCTGCATCAGGTGTTCAGGAAGGGTTTTGGGAGGCCCAGCTCTGCCCAGTCCCCTCTGAGAGCTGTGGCTGTGTTGGTGACCCAAGGCTGAGCCCTGGGCACAGGAGCTGCTGTTCCTGGAGCTGAGTGCTTGGCACAGGGATCTCCTGAGCATCCTCCCTTCCAGCAGCCCCAGGCGCTGCAAACTGAAAAAAAAGATGATAACAATATAGAAAATGTGACTGGACTGTCCTGTTTGGGTCCTGGGTGTTTTCTGTGTGGGTGTTGCTGCTGCATGGGAGAACCTGCTGTGGGAAAGGGAACGTGGGAAGGATTCCTGGGTGCCACAAAGGGACCTAAGGGCAGGAAACAAATGTGCCGTGGGAATGGCTCCAAGGAATGGAAGCTTTTATTCTGATCCCACTGAAAACAAATATAAAATAATTTATTACATTACTTTCAAGAGAGGTAGAACTTCTAGAAATGAGATATTTTCTTATGTCTTGGCATAGTTTAAAAAACCTTAGCCAAAGACCTGACCCCCTGTGTTGAGGGTCCACAGTGGTGGTGATATGCTGCAAGAATTGGATGCCGATCACTTTTAAATTCTAATGTGATGTAACAAACAGCTGCGAAGAACAGATGATATGTCAATTAACCTAAGGCTTTTACAATTTGGTCAGCAATTCCATTGGTGCATGAAGGACTTCTAATGAGGGGAATTTGAGCAAGTCTAAACCTAGGTTTGGTGCTGTGAGTGGGGATATCCTTTCCTGTGTCAGCTGGGATTGAGCTGGGATTTGTTGAGTTGGGATCACAGATGGTGAGAAGAGAGCAGAGGATGTGTGAGCAGAGCAGAGCCCAGGCCAGGTGCTGTGTCCCAGGGTGGCTCACAGCAGTCCCGGGCAGCGCTCGGGGTCATGGGGATCAGCGGCGTTAGCGGCACTGAGCTCTGTCCTCGCCCGCCAGGCTCACTACTGCCACGGGGATGAGTACCAGACCGAGAGCAGCCGCGGCTCCGACCTGTCCGACATCCTGGAGGAGGATGAGGAGGAGCTCTACTCCGAGATGCAGCTGGAGGAGGGCGGCCGGCGGCGCCTCAGCCTCACCTCGCACGGAGCGCTCAAGGTGAGCGCCCAGGGACCCCTCGGGGCTGCTCCAGAACCTTCCCTCAGCTTCTGCAGGGCCCTGGACTCGCTCTGTGGGACACAGCCACACCCCAGTGCATTTATTACCCTGGTGTTCGTTATTTGATAGATAAACTTCAGCTGACTGACCGTTTTCCTACATGTGATTGTTGCAGTTGCAATTTCTGTTCTGCATCTGGGGCCCTTCCCCGTGTCTCCGTGAAGACAGACTGCATGTGCTAGCCCGAAAATGAGTTGTTTCTGAGCAAGGAGATTTGTAAAAACTTACAAAACAACTTCTGTTTTTCCTGTCTGAGTGATTTGTCCACGTATCCAGTGCTAGTCCCATCCCTTCCACAGGCTTAAAGCATTCCTGTAGGAAAGGGAGTTGTTTCAGCTTTGTTTGATCAATGCTTTATCAAAACTCCTTGTGCTCTGAATATCGGGGAACCAGCAGAGAGAGTAGGAAATACATTCCAGAAATATTGCTTTAATACAGGAATATTCATCGTGAAACACAACTTCAGTGTAGCAACTAAAGCATATGCAGAGCACAAAACACTCCCAACACTCAATATATATTTCCATATTCTATTTGTACATGTAAATTGTATTTGCTTCTTCATGTGTGTAGCAATTACACAAACTGTGTTTTTCTAGAAAGCACAAAGCCACAGGCTACCTGTTTTTCAGTAGATTGTTATTGAACTAAAATCAGCACTATTTTCTCATGCATACAAGAATTCTGAGCATTCTTATGGCTGCTTTCATGTGCTGTAAATTCAGTCCTTTTATTCTGTCTGCAGTGAGACAGATACTTTTTCAAAAGAAGAAATGATCAGTGTTTCTATTACTGCACCAACATAAAGGTTGAAACCAAAATCCTTCTGCATCTTCTTCTGTTCCCTTCCCCTGGCAAAAAGAATAATCCCCAGACTGTTCTTGTTCTTTATGCATCAGAAGGTGCATTTACTTCTTGGATTTAAATCAGTATTGGCAGAGTTGATACTGAGAAAGTTCCAGAACCTTAACTGGTGTAGGCAATCATTTTTGACCTGCTGAGGTTTGCAGGCTTCTCTTGATGTAGTGTCTATCAAAACTGTGATAATTTGTGCTTACTGATCTTTTGTCCACTTCTGTAGCGCTCCATCTCAAGTTCCACGGGTGTTACATGCATTTTAAAAACAAAGGAAAACAGGTGAAACAGTCTGAAGTAACTTAGGAAGTGTGGAAGGGCGCAGCCAGGTTCAGGGTGCTCGGAGGGAGGTTGCTGAAATCTCTGAGAGGATCTGTTGTTATTTATGGGAGCTGTTGAGCCCAGAGATTCCCCTGATCTGGGCATTAAGCACAAGGGGAGATGATCTCTGGGATGCAGAATCAATAAATCCTGGCAGTCAGAGGCAGCACCTCCTGCCCTGTGCTCCCTTCCCTCCTCCCAGAGCCCAGCCAGGACACTCAGGATTCTTTGTCAGATTCTTTGTTTTGTGGAAATGGAATAGGAAGGTTGCAGAATGTATCTGGCATGTCCAGAATGCTTCTTTTACCCAGGCTGGGATAGCTCTTACCTGCTTCTGGCATAAACAGAGACTTTTACCTCTGCTCATAGGCTGATTTTCAAACACTGGTTCTATGAAGCAGGGACAGGATCATGATGGGAGATTTGATGGCAGTGCAGACCCAGTGACCTCTGAGAGCAGCCTGCATCCAGGGGGCTTTCCCTGGAAGCCAAGCTTTGAAAATGGTTCAGGTGTTCTAGGATTTTAGAAAGGAAAGCAGAACTCTTTAGTGACGGCTGTGGAATAGCTCTCCTCTGACAGGAGACTGAAGATTTTTACAGCTTATACAGGAAGCTTTAAGAGATTCAAAGCAAGAAAGCTTGCTGGGGCAGAGCTGTCATTCTCAGACACGGGTTCTGCTCACACAGAAAATCAGATGGCAGTTTGGCACGGGGCAAGGAAGGAGTTTTACTGCCATTGTCATTCCCCATGCTGGAACACGTGTGTGGCTTTCATCCCTCCCTTGCAAATGCATGAGTTTAGTCGTGTTGAGAGCATCACTCAGTTGTTTGTACTGACCTCTCACGCTGTATCTGGCACCCAGCAACTTCTTAATCATGTCTTTATTTTTCACAGATCCTCATTCAAAGCATGACGTCCTTTTCACTGTATAAGCTGCATGTCTTACGTTTGCCATTGCTCTAAAACTAATTCTGTCTTTATTTTTCTTTTCTCCCTTTTCCCTCCTATTTTATTTTTGTCACACACTCTTTGTTCCCTGTCTGGTTTTTGACATTACATAATCTTAAGGAGTACGATAAGACCACTGAAGCCACTTTTTGGGAGCAGCCTGACTTTGCCCAGCAGACACACCACAGTAAAAGGCTTTTCAGTATTCCAGAAGTGGCTGAAGAGGACGGTGAATACTCTGAACTGCTGTACAGGCAGGGTTTAGGTATGCCCTATAGAAAGAACCCCAGGGTAGCCAGAGAGCCCAGAGCAAGCAGGCCCTGTCCCCAGGAGCAGCAGCACAGCCCCTGGCACCGCTCGGGGCCGGGGCTGGAGGAGCTGGTGCCGGACGAGCGCGGATGCAAATTCAGACAGTCCCTGTCCCGGAGCCCGGACAGCGGGCTGGACTGCGGCAGCGAGGAAGAGGAGCCCAGGGGCAGTGCCAGACACACCTGGGGCAGGGAGGAAGAGGAGCCCAGGGGCAGTGCCAGACACACCTGGGGCAGGGAGGAAGAGGAGCCCTGGCACAGTGTGAGACCCCAGTGGGGCAGGGATGAAGAGCAATTCCAGCACAGTGTGAGACCCCAGTGGGGCAGGGATGAAGAGCAAGCCCAGCACAGGCTCAGAGCTCAGTGGGGCAGGGATGAAGAGCAGTCCCAGCATGGTGTGAGAGCCCAGTGGGGCAGGGATGAGGATGAGGAGCAGCCCCAGCACAGAGCCCATTGGGGCAAGGATGAGGATGAGGATGAGGATGAGGATGAGCAGCCCCAGCACAGAGCCCAGGGGGACGCAGAGCCCTGCCCCTGCCGGAGGGGCCCGCGGCCGCTGCTGGCCCGCAGGAGGACCCTGACCAGGCAGAGCAGCATCGAGGAGGATTTCGGGGAGCTGGGGCCGTCCCTCGGGGAGCCCAGGAGCGAGCAGAGCCAGCAGAGCCAGCAGAGGAGGTCGGCAGCTCAGAAGGGCCACAGAACAGATCGTGTGGCTAACGAAGAAGTGCAGGGAGGCTGGAAGAGCGACTTTAAAGCAGCTGACTCTAGGGCAGCTGCTGTCCCTGCAAAGCCATCCCACAGAGATGCAGAAGACTCTCTGGTGTGTGAAGTATCTTCCTTCTAACATCTGCTTGCCGAATCAGTCTGTTTTCTTTATTCTCTTAATTTTTTGTTCTTTATTTTTTTTCTTTTTTCATTTTTTTTTCCCCAAATTGATTTTTCAAGTCCATCCTTTGGGCCCATCTGCTACATTCCCCCTCCCCCCTTTTTTTTTCTTCCCAACTCATTTTTGTTTATTACTCTGCATTTTTGTTTATGGTCCTCTTTTGTGCCATGCTGAAATCAGATTAATTTGCTTTGCAATGATTTTCCCCCAGAACAAATTACAATAATGGCTGCTTTTATTAAAGGACAACTGAATCTAAATTTTAATTAAGGGTTAGCTGAACTATAATTTTTCCAAAAGATTGCTTTTCTTTATTTTGCCCGTCTGAATTAAAAAAAAAAAGCAAAAAATCAAAAAACCACAAATGGCTGCATTTTTAACTGGAGAAATGTTTCATCGGTATTTTAATTTTATTTTTTTTTTTAATTATTGTCAAGGAATTCATTTCATCGTGTTGTTTTTATTCATCTCATTCCAAGAATTTTCAGCTCATGCTCTTTATCATGGAATATCTCAAGACAAGGATCAAGATTCTCCCCCAGTGTGACAGTGACCCAGATTTGGGGAGTCACAGCTTCACCATTTTCATTTTCTGCCTTTCCTCTGCGCTGTCACTGCTTCGCCGTCCTTTCTAGACCATCTCTTCTTGCCTTTGAAGTTGCAGACTGCATCTCTGCAGGAGAATGCAGGCACGGAGCTGCTTCCAAAGGGAGCCCAGGGCCCTTCCACCTCCCCTGAGGATGCTCTGCACGACTTTCCCCGTTTGCATTTCTGTCAATTCATGTCCAGAGGAGCCTCCAGGTGTGAGGGACAGAGAGAACAGAGAGCAGAGCCCCTTCCTTACCCTGCAGCGGCCTGGAGCACAAAAACTCCTCTCTGGGACATTCCTGGAGCACAAAAACTCTCTGGCACTTTCCAGGGCAGAGCAGAGATCAGCTGCTGCTCTTCCAGCCTCCAGCTCAGGCTGCAGGAGCCCAGCAGATCTGGGATGAGCCCAGCAGAGCTGGGATGAGCCCAGCAGAGCTGGGATGAGCCCAGCAGAGCTGCAGGAGCCCAGCAGAGCTGCAGGAGCCCAGCAGAGCTGCAGGAGCCCAGCAGAGCTGCAGGAGCCCAGCAGAGCTGCAGGCCTGGCTGCACTGGTGTCAGTGGCCACACGAGAGGCTCTGGAGAGCTCTTGGCCTCCTCATCCTCGCGGCTGGCGGCGTTCGGGCGAGCGGAGCATCCGCGTCCCTTCTGCACCTGCTGCCACCCGGATGAACTGTGCTGGGAGCCTCAGAGGCTCAGAGCCTGCCCTGGCTGCCCTGCACAGGGGGATCCCCAGAGCTGAGTGTGCCCTCCCGGGCTCCCCAGCCCCAGCTCTCGGCAGGACGCTCAAACCTTAGCAGCAACAACAAAGGCAAAAGAATATTTCAAAAATTATTCTTTTCTTTTCTTTTTGTTCTGATGTGTGACTGCTGGTTTCAAAACTCTGCCATAAATCAGGAAGCCATTTTTTTTCTTTTGCAGGTTTGCCAGGCAGCAGTACTCACTTTTCAGCTAACCTTTCAGTTAAAAACTAAGTTTAGTTGCCTTTAGAGCTTACGCTTCCAAATGTGATTGACCTGATCCATGTCCAGCCGCGCCACCGCCGCGGTGCCGTGCACAGAACTGACAAATCCGTTCTTTCTGTTGTTGTGTTTTAGCTTTTAGGTAACCCAGCCTCGGCAGGACGGCAGGACAGGGTGGAGCACGCAGGGCGGAGGTCCCACGGCAGCGCGGTGCCACCGAGGTCTCGGCCCGTCTTGGTCCCCTCCATTGGTGAGTTGGGCAGATTCCTGCTCCTCACAGCCTGGGCTTGCCAAGGAAACCCTTCCAGAGAAGCAGCAGCCCCAGTGTGGGAGCAGGCTCCTCCTGCTGAGCCTTCCCCTGGCAGGGCCAGGGGCTTCCTCCAGTTCAGTGCCTGGGGCAGCTTGTTCCAGCTCAAACACTCACAGTGGGCTCTCACCTCAGAAGAAATCTGCTGGCAGCTTGCTCTGTGGCCAGTGAGATCAGTGTGGCCATGCAGGCACCCACCCAGCCCTGCGTCCTGCCATCATCAGCCATCACTCTGTATTCACTTGCCCTTCTCTTGACTGCTTTTTTTATCAGTTTATGGCAAACTCTTGCAAACCTGGCAGAAATGGCTTTCCTAGGTGAGCTGTGCAAACGTCAGTCTGCTGCAGGAAATCAGCCCAGCTGCCAGTGCAGGTTTTATAAGCTTTTTTTAAAGATAGAAACTTGCTAATCAAAACCCAAAACAACCCACCAAGCTTTATAGGACGTGCAGTGAGGTTTGGGGTTTGTCCTGAAAGGCCAAACACATTTCAGATTTAACTGGGATAGCTGGATGGTGAGGCCAGCTTGTATTACTGAATTGTTCTTTTCTGAATTTGCTTTCACAGATGGCTACGGTGGCCATGACCATCTTTCTCCAGATATTTATGAGGAGTCTGAAACAGATCCTGGCACAGAAGATCTTTCCACTCGAATATTTGTTGCACTTTTTGACTACGATCCACTGACCATGTCCCCAAACCCCGATGCTGCAGAGGAGGAGCTGCCATTTAAAGAAGGACAGATCATTAAGGTGAGGTCTGAAAACAAAGGAGACAAATGACAATTTTACAAACATTTCTCCTCTGGGAGAAAGCCGCCTGTGTGATCAGAATCCAGAGGGGGGTTTTCCTTCAGAGGTTCAGGCTGTAAATCTCACTGGACCTGGTAATTAACAGTTAGTGCTAATGGCTTAAAAATGATCACAAAATGGGCAAAAACCTCAAAGCTGCTGTACATAGTTAGGGCCAGTCTTAATTATTAGGCTGAACCCAGAATTGTGACTCTGAAGCTCCCTAAGTCCATTGCCACAAAGCCTGCAGGAAGAGCAGCTTCAGAGAGGATCTTTGGGCGAGGGAAGTGCCAGAGTCTGCAGCCTCCCTCCCTCCCTCCCTCCCTCCCGATCCCCTGGGATGCTCGGGCTGGGCAGGAGCAGCTGCTGGCAGTGCAGGGGGAATTGGCATTTCAGGGTGATCTGGAGCAGAACATTAAAAAAATATCCACTCATTTGAACATTGCACATTTCAGAGACTAAATTGTGATTTAAACTGGTGAAATACTGCCTGCCTTCCACTGGGCTGGGTCCTGACACAAACATCTGTACCTGATTCACAGTCTTTGTACTGTTAAATTCTTCTTCAATGTTCTGCTTACCTCACATGTTACATGGTTTATGCCAAAGAAGAGGAACTTGTTTGAGAGTTCCTTTTCCTCTGCAAGAATGTGCATTTCATCCAGGTATTTTTTTTATACCTTAAGTCGTGTTTTTAAATCAAATCAAAAGACAATAGGAGAGCTTAAGTACCTTATGTATGAGATAAGCATTTTTGGTCATATAAAGGTTGTTAGAATCAAAATAATAACATTTTGTCACAATTTTGCAAATGTTTCATGTTTCATTCATACATCAAATAAACACCTGGCTCAGCACAGGGAGAAACTGATGGCTTTTAATGAACTTTTTGTCCCTTTCACTGCTAACAACAACAACAAAAAAAAGTCGAAATTCTGCTTATGTATCTGAAGTCACAATTCAAATAAATATAACAATTCCAGTTTTATAACCTAAGTCAGAGTGGTCCAGAACTAATATAATTCCACATCTAAACTGCAGTTATTATCTATGCTTTAGTAACCCTTAGCGTGCACTGAAATTCCTAAATGCTGAAACCTTTTTGAGCAATATTTTCATTCTTTGAATGTCAGGTTTATGGGGACAAAGATGCTGATGGATTTTACCGTGGAGAAACCTGTGCAAGAGTTGGCCTTATCCCCTGTAATATGGTCTCTGAGATACAAGCAGATGATGAAGAGATGATGGATCAGCTTCTCAAACAAGGTTTCCTTCCTTTGAACACTCCAATTGAGAAAATCGGTGAGAGAACATGCAGACATTTCACTTCAGACTCTTGGGTCTCGAAACTTGGCTCCATCCACTTTGCCTCTCGTTTTTATGCAGCTGCATCTCCATTTTGCAGTCATTTACTGCCCCAGGGGATGCATTCTGTGTCAGTGTCTGACTTCATGCTAATATTTAGTCTTGGTGATGTCGCTGCGAATGGGGACCTGTAGCTTCACCACTCCACTTGTTACTTTCTTTTCTGATAAAAAAAATAAAGTGGGTTTTGTCTCCTGAAATATTTGTGGGCCCACAACTCGATCCCTGAGCTGTGGACTCTGCTGTGCAGAGTGAGCTGAGGATTCTGTGCCTTAAAGCAGAGCAAGAACACTGTTAATTCTCATTTAATTACATGTTAATTGTCATTTATGGCCTTTGTGTGGCTGCCCATCCTCAGTCTGTGTGGGTGGGTGTGCTCAGCCGAGGCTGCTCCCCATGGGCTGGAGCAGTGGGCAGGATGCTGCTGCCCCTCTGGGAGGGGGTGAGGAGTGGTTGAGCAGCCCAGCAGGGTTTGATATGGTTTGATATGATATATTGATATGGTTTGATATGGTTTGATATAGTTTGATATGATATATTGATGTGGTGTGATATGTGATATATTGATGTGGTGTGATATGTGATATATTGATGTGGTTTGATATATTGATGTGGTTTGATATGGTTTGATATGGTTTGATACAATATATTGATGTGGTGTGATATATTGATATGGTTTGATATATTGATGTGGTGTGATATGATATATTGATGTGGTGTGATATGATATATTGATGTGGTGTGATATATTGATGTGGTTTGATATATTGATGTGGTGTGATATGATATATTGATGTGGTGTGATATGATATATTGATGTGGTGTGATATATTGATGTGGTGTGATATGTGATATATTGATGTTGTGTGATACATTGATGTGGTTTGATATGGTGTGATATGGTTTGATATGATATATTGATGTGGTTTGATATGATATATTGATGTGGTGTGATATATTGATGTGGTTTGATATGGTGTGATATGGTTTGATATGATATATTGATGTGGTGTGATATGATACATTGATGTGGTGTGATATATCTTTTTCCCTGGCAGAGCGGGGCCGGCGCAGGCAGCAGCAGCTCAGCACCAGGAGGATGGTGGCTCTCTACGACTACGACCCCAGGGAGAGCTCCCCGAACGTGGATGTGGAGGTAGGGCCAGAGCTGAGCAGGGAGCGGGCTCAGGGCCCATGGGCTGCCTCAGTATTCCTCCAAAACATGCTTTGGTTCCTTCCTTGGTGAGCTGTAGAACAGTCTGGAGTTGTTTTAAGGAGAAAGTGAATTTTGAAATATCTGGGACTTGGTGCTTTCAGACACAGCCAGGGTTGTTTTCTGTTTCTTTTCAAACCAAATCTTTTTCTAAATTATGGTGTTTCAAAGTGGTTTGGCCAACAAATCAAGTAAATTGTGCTGGTGTATTGCAAAGATTTTGTTTGTCCTCTCTCCCATGACCACAGGAAATTAAAAATAATTTAAAGCCCCCACCCTAATTACATTTAAGCCACAGACAATTAAAAAGAGCCCAGTGCACTGTTTGCTGCTCAGAGGGGAGCTGCTTATTGTGAAGGTTTTATTGAAGAGGCTTCAGGGCAGGTCCAGTGCAGGAACGTTGGGTTTGGGCTGGGTGATGTCCAGAGGTCCCTCCTGGGCTGGTGCTGAGCACAGCAGCTCTCTGGAACTCACAGCTCTGGAACTCACAGCTCTGGAACTCACAGAGCTCTGGAACTCACAGCTCTGGAACTCACACAGCTCTGGAACTCACAGCTCTGGAACTCACAGAGCTCTGGAACTCACAGCTCTGGAACTCACAGAGCTCTGGAACTCACACAGCTCTGGAACTCACAGCTCTGGAACTCACAGAGCTCTGGAACTCACAGCTCTGGAACTCACAGAGCTCTGGAACTCACACAGCTCTGGAACTCACTCAGCTCTGGAACTCACAGCTCTGGAACTCACACAGCTCTGGAACTCACAGCTCTGGAACTCACTCAGCTCTGGAACTCACAGCTCTGGAACTCACAGCTCTGGAACTCACACAGCTCTCTGGAACTCACAGCTCTGGAACTCACAGAGCTCTGGAACTCACAGCTCTGGAACTCACAGCTCTGGAACTCACACAGCTCTGGAACTCACAGCTCTGGAACTCACAGCTCTGGAACTCACACAGCTCTGGAACTCACAGCTCTGGAACTCACACAGCTCTGGAACTCACAGCTCTGGAACTCACAGAGCTCTGGAACTCACAGCTCTGGAACTCACAGCTCTGGAACTCACACAGCTCTGGAACTCACAGCTCTGGAACTCACAGCTCTGGAACTCACACAGCTCTGGAACTCACAGCTCTGGAACTCACACAGCTCTGGAACACACAGCTCTCTGGAACTCACACAGCTCTCTGGAACTCACTCAGCTCTCTGAAGCTCACTCAGCTCTCTGGAACTCACTCAGAGCAGGGCCTGAGCCATGTCCCACCTCAGCTGTTCCCTCTGCACCAGTTTTCATTCAGGGGCTCTTTGAAGCTGTGAAGTTCAACCTTCCAAGCTTGTCCAGGTTGTGCGATGTCCCAGCTGCTGCTCCCAGCACACACTGGGAGAGGTGCCAGGTTTAGAAAGCTGAGGAAAAAAACCCAAGGGAAAAAAAAAAGAGGTTTGGGTCTCAAAAATCAATTTGGTTTCACCAGAGTCTTAACATGAAGGAGTAGGGAGAAATGTTCCTGGATTTCCTGTTGATAAAGGAAAGGTTGATGTTTGCCTGAGAGCTGTCCCTGCTCCTTCCCTGCAGGCCGAGCTGACGTTCTGCACCGGGGACATCATCACCGTCTTCGGTGAGATCGATGAAGATGGATTTTATTATGTAAGTTGTGTCTGCTGGGTCACTCCAAACTGCTCCCAGCCCCTCCAGCACCAGGTACCAGCCTGGGAGGGATGTGGAAATGGGGGAGCTCTCAGCGTCCCCAGGGACCTTGGATGGGAATTTCCTCTTCCTCACCAGCTTTGAAATAGGCAAAAAATATTTCCCTGCCTGCCTGGGAGCCTGCAGGTGATGAAATGAAAGCATTCCCTTTCCTTCCCTCTGCTGACAGGGTGAACTCAATGGACAGAAGGGGCTGGTTCCTTCCAACTTCCTTGAAGAAGTGCCTGATGATGTTGAGGTGTTTCTCTCCGACGCACCCTCGCGCTACGTCCACGACACACCCACGCGATCCAAGGCAAAAAGGGTAAGCAACCCGCTAAGAAACGCTTAAATTTTCATTTCCCATTTCATTCTGTCTCATGGATAATTTAGACATTATTTTTTAACATTACTTTTAAATTCATTTGCCCATTTAAAGTTATGTTTCAAACAGATAAAATAAAACATGAGGAAGAATGACTGTAGCCTTGGCTAGCTCGTTACATTTGTAAATGGAGAAACTGAACGGACTGATTGCAGTCGTTACAGTACCGGCCATTATAATCTGAATTAAAGCAGCTCTTTCCTGGCGGTAGTTATTGCCCAAAGCTTCTAAATTGCTCTTACTAAAAAAGTTCTTGTGCACAAAAGACTGGTACCAGTGTTCCTCTAAATACAAACTGTAACTGCAGCTGATGGACTGACAGTGGTCGTCTCCTAATCCCTACAACTTCCTGCTCCAACTGGCGATAATTAATTGCTCAGAGACTTCTCTTTTATGAAAGAATTAATTATGTTTAGAGTATCTCATTTTTGGTTTTGTTTCATCACTGCAATACTTTTATATATTATATATTTTATATATATTTTTATTTCTTTGCTCATCTGCTTGGAAACAGAAGAAGAGTGTTCATTTCACACCTTAATAAGGCAATGTAGCCTTCACGTAAGTGAGCAACTGAAGATACCAATAGAGATTTCAATTAAAGCTACCTGGCTATCTAATGCAAGTCTTGAAACCTAATTGTGGGGGAAAAGAAAAGAAATATGTCTCCAAACCCCTTGGCCACAGAAGCCCGGGCTGAATGCCTTTACTGTACCTGGTCAAGCCAGCTCCTTTCTTGGGAGACAAATCCTTTAAAACAGGAGCCCTCCGAGAGCCGCCAGAGCTCCCTTGGTGCAGGTCAGCGTTTGGAACATATTTCTTCCCGAGCTCAATGTTTATGTTTACATAGAGAGGAGAGTTTGATGTCTAACTACCCTACAAACAAAGCTGCATATTGCATTGCTAGCCAAGCTGGGATGTAAAAATTCCAAGCTCCCGTGTCAAGAGAAAAGCACAACAGCTTTGCAGAAACAGCAGTGACGCTGGCACGGACCGTAGTGCACCAGGGGATAGTTGGTTCTGAAACTCACTACACTCAAACACAGCTACTTAAATTGTCTGCCTTAAAATGTGTTTTCCACAATCGATTATACCCCAGTTTGCCTAAGACCAACTATTCAACACTTCTAAAAAAAAAATCCCTTCCCGTGGTACAATTTACTCGGATTTTTCCTGGTACATTTGCAATATTAGCAACTGTTTGGTTTACCAATGCAATAAAAGTCTCGACCTGAAACATGCAGCTCACTGAATGAATGCATTAGACTCGATATCTGGTATCTTCAGGTGTACGTTGGGGTGCTTTACCAAGTTGTTTTGTTTTTTGGTTTGTTTTTTTCATTAGAATTAGACCTTGATTTAAAATCAAAGTAGGCTTGAAGCCCCTTTGCTTAACTCACCGTTGCACAAGAAGCCAGTAAATTGCTGATGTTTTAACTGCAAGCTAGCAGGCCTCCCTACAGCATGGATTCTACTGTGAAAATATCACCTGAATTGATAGCAACCATTCTGCCAGCTGGGCACTGTAGTTAGGATAGGCTGAGTATACGTAATTTTAGCATTTTCATCCAAGTGCTTTTGATGACTGAAAAAAAAACAAAGCTGTTCAAAATATTTAGGAATGCTGTCATCTAACAACCTCATAGCTGCAGCAAACACATCAAGCACTCAGGGCCTTTAAGCTTTCTTTGATTGTAATTAAGGTTCATTTTAGCTTTTTCTTTTTCTTTTTCTTTTTTTTTTTTTTTAAGCCAGTGTGCCATCTTCTCTAATCTGTACATAAAGTTTGCTAGCCAATTTTAAAGAAAAGGCTTTTAAAGGACATAAAAAAGTAAGTGATCATGTAGCATTTTAAGTCATTTCTTCTGGAAAGAGTTTGGCTTCTATAGATTGCTAACCTGTAATAATTAACATGTTTATTTTTCTTAAATCTATAGCTAAAAGTATCCCTCTGCATTTTAGTACTATCAGAGTGCTGAAATGAAAAACCGAAGCCAGTTCTGTGGCTTTGGTGGCCAGAATTCTGGCAAAGCAAATGTATCCAACTTTTCCTTTAAAAAGGTATAACCAAAACTGGGCTTTATTGGTGGGCTTTCTATTTCTATAATTTTTTTCTCTAAATTGATGCATTTTCCATAAGCCCAGGCAGTATTTTAAGCCAGAGAGAAGAAAGAAACCAGCCCTTTTGTTTAAGTGGGTAATGGGACAAGTGATGTTACCAAGTTTCTTGCTGATGATGGCTTTGAAGCTTTCAAAGATTGAATAAATGATAACAATGTACCTACTAGGTTCCTCCTGAGAATACAGGTACACCCCGGAGAGCAGCATCCCCCACAGCTCATCTCCATTCCGGGTCACCTCCGTCACCGGTGATGGGCTCTGGTAGTCCCGGGAGAGGCAGGGATATGGCCTCGAAAAAGAAAAAGGGGCTGCTTTCCAAAGGCAAGAAACTGCTGAAAAAGCTTGGTGCAGTGAAATGAGTCCTGTGCTCCTGGACAACTTGTAAAGCTTCCAGTCTGTGTACTTCTTTTTTTTTTTTTTTTTTTTTAAAGTCAAAACTAGGGCTTTCATGACTATGCAGTACTTTACCAGACCTTTGCATTTTTAACTCTGACATCAATAGAATCATGTGAATCGCTTAATCAAAACAGCAAGAGAAAAAAGGAAGTGGATTTGTTGTTGGTAAAAACATTATTTAAAAAGTAAAAAAATAAAAAAAAAATAAAAATATTGTGGGATTAAGGCCAGAAGAACATGGTTTTATTTGAAGTCAACACCTGCAACTCCATTGGAAAAATCTCAGCCTTTATTCTCCTTTAACCATGAGTGGGGGGAGAAAACTCTCTTCACTGATTGCTAGCTCAGAGAGATCACCCCACTGTATCCAATCATTAGCATTAACAATGGTCTTGAAACTCCTAGTTGAATCAGCCTTGATGTTTTGCCTTATTAATGCACAATGATTTGTACTGTCTAATAAATATGCAGCGTATACTTTGTATGTACTGTGTATTCCGCTGTCTCCATCCTCCCTCCCTGCGGGATTCCAGATCGGTCACTGACCCCGATGAGCTCCTGGAGTGTGCAAGTGCTGTGCTGAACGCTACATTTGAGTTTTTGCTGCCCCAGTACAACCCAAACCCCTGTGTTGATTTGTCCTTCCCGCTCTGCTGAACGGGGCAGTGCGAGGGACTCAGAACCTCACCCATTCCAAGCAGCCGAGCTCCAGCTTTGGGCTCCTGGTTCTCTTCCAAGCCCCTGGGACAAAGCCAGCTCCTCGCCCACCCCCCTTTCTTTACTCCCCGTTTTCCCTGGCGGGTTCAGGCCCAGGTTGGAAGGTGTTTTCAGGGTGCTGCCGGCAGCTCCAGGCTGCAGCAGCTCCGGAGGGAGGGACGGACTGTCCCAGGCTCCGAGCACACGGGAATCAGGAGAAGCTCCCCCACACACTGATGGCAGTCATTGGCTGGTACTATTTTGTAATTCTTGTCCATTTGTAAATTGTTTTTACTGTTTATACATACTTTTCAGACTGCCTTTCTTTTTGTAATTTATGGAAGGTTTATAAATGAATGATCAAAGCTTCCCCATTGTGTCTTCAGATAATGTAAATTACTGTAAAATACTGTGTGCTAGATTATAACCTTTAATTAAAGAAAATAACTGGCCTACGTTTGTGGTAAAGTACTGTGTGGGTGTGTGCATGTGTACAATCATTGTGTATTATATTTTATATAAATAAATAATTTGATATTTTGTAGAGTGCAGTATGTTTCATACATCCACTGTGGCAGCTGCTGGCTTCTTGCATCAGCCTTTTTCCAGAACTGTCCATGGCTGCTCAAGTCTACTGCAGAATAAAATAAAGGCTCCTCTATCTGCAAGACTGCAGGAGCTTCCCAGAGGTAAAAAAGGGTTGCCAAGTTACTCCAGCAATTGTCCCATCTGTGCCCAAAGCCCTGTGGTGAAGTACAAAATACACAGAACAGGCTCAAAGGAGCAAGGATTACAGCAACAACTTTATTTAAATCTCACAAAGGAAAGCAACAAGGTTCACAACAAGGCGGTTAAGAAAACCAGCACTAATCTGAATTTCTCCACGTGCAGTAGTTTGCTACTGCAAAAATCTGAAATCCCCCTCCATCCCCACACCTGCTATTAGTTTCACAAACCGGGCTGCAGAACAGTGACCAATGAAAACCTCAGACATGAACAAGGCAGGGCTGCTTCCCACTGCTTGGAACTACAAAACCAGAGAGCCCCAAAGCTGGCAGCAGTCCCTGATGGAAATTGTATTTGCCATTTCAGAAGCCTGGTTCGGCAGGAGCAGCCTGGCAGCGCAGCTCCTGCTGTGGGAAGCCTCTCCTGGCCCAGGGGTGAGTGTGAAGCTGCCACAGGCCCAGGACAAGCCCTGCCAGCCCCAGCTGCTGCAGCAGCAGGGCTCCATCCCAGCCCTCCCCTGCTGTGGAGACTGGCACACACAGCATCCCCCTGCAGCTGCCCCAGCCTGACACAGCCCCCCTCACTCCCCTCTGCTCCGAGGGAGACTCAAGCCGGCACCAGAGTTTGTGGCTGGTTTGCAAATTCCTCACAAGGACAACTGTTAAAAACCCTTCCAGAGGTTCTGCATCACTGTACAGCCTTAAAAACAAAGCCTTGGTAACCAACAGCGTCTGGTCAGCTCCTTTTAAGGTATGAAACGGGTCAAGAGACAAACTTGGCCCTCATTTTAACAGCAAAGAATAACAAGGAATCAACAATATTGAAGCATTTTGAAAATTAAAAGGGTAAAGTACTAGCTGGAAGAGTTTGGATTCTGGTCTGCATAACTATCCCTCATGCAAGAAGTAATTCTGTATAAGACTTCTCAAAATGTAAATAAGAACAACCAATAAACTTTAGGGAAGAATCACAGAGAAAACTTTAGTAAATAAGTATCAAAAATCACAAAAATTAGTGCAGTTATTCTAGCAAGCAGACACCTGTTCAAAATGCAAATCAGCCATCTCCAGCTTTTCCCTGGTACAATGAAAATTAAATAAATTTTCACAACTGCAGGTATCCTGTGCACATCTCTTAGGAAAAACCAAAACTAAACCAAGAGCCCAGACAATTCTACATTCCCTAGAGAGGAACTACGCTCTTCTGCTTGGCTTCAAAGGTAGTACAGTCTTTCTGAAAGCACCAGGTTTGGCTCTCTGTGGATACTCTGACCGACAAGGAAAGCCAATTTGTGAGCGTACTGGCAAGGAGCAGGTACTCTGATAATACCCTGCAGAAAGGGGAAAAAAGAGAAAAAGGCAGTTATTTTCAACTAATTTAAATAAGCATGCAATCACTGTAACGAGGACCCCTGGACCTCCAAAGTCTGCATGCTTGTAGAATTTGTATTGCCTGCTGTTTATGCTGATTTGTGAAAATAACTTTACATACACCAAACACAACAGAAGAGATGCAAAAAACCCCCAAACCTGCCAACAGGAGTGTCCTCCTGACACCTCCCAGACAGGTTTACACTCAGTGCTGGGCCTTGCAGGGAGGTGG